AGGTTCTAAAAAAAGATAGTAAATGATAAGCAACTTTATATTTTAAATATGAACATGAGGTTTGAATCTACCCAGTGCTGAAATTTTATAGTTTTTTTTCTCTTTTCAAAGACTTCTTCAATTTCGTTTATGGTCTTGTGTGTTTTCCTTCCATTATCTATTTTTATGCATGGTGTTATTTTTTGTAATAAGCTGTGATGGATTCAACCAAACATCTATTCAGTGTATTACGTTGCTTTCCATTCGAATGTACTGCTTTTACTTGTCTGGTTTATTGCTCTGGAAAGTATTGTACTGCTTTTTTGATAGTATTTAGAAAAAGATATATTGTATGCATGGAAATAAATTACATTTATATGGATAGAAGCAATAAGGGTAGGATTTTGAAGATATAAAATGTTTACAGTTTCTTAATTTAAATGAATTCGACAAGCTTTCAACGACAGCAATCCAAACCTTATAGGTCGGAGCTCTATTTATATCGAACTAGGGAACGCCGTCACTGCCTTACAGTAGAACACTACTATTGCATTGTGTCAACCTTCCATTACATTATGTCAACTCTTTATGACATTAACCCACACTACTATTGCATTGTGTCAACCTTCCATTACATTATGTCAATTCTTTATGACATTAACCCACACTACTATTGCATTGTGTCAACCTTCCATTACATTATGTCAACTCTTTATGACATTAACCCACACTACTATTGCATTGTGTCAACCTTCCATTACATTAAGTCAACTCTTTATAACATTAACCCACACTACTATTGCATCGTGTTAACTTTCCTTTACTTTATGTCAACTCTTCATGACATTTACACATACTACAATTTTATTTCGTCAACTTGCATTTCGTTATGTTTACTTTTCATGACAATCTTAGTTTTTATTAACTGATGTGGAAAGCTCATACCATACTGTGCGCGCTCTTTTACATTATGTCGATTCACTATTACGTTATGCGAACACGGGTATCTTCGGCCTTTATATGAGCATAACGTATTTTCCGCGTTCCGCAAGCACTAAAAATGGCGGGAGAGAAAACTGTCGTAGAAGAGATTCTCAGCGATTTCCGAATGACATCTTTAAATGAAAACTTTAAGCGACAAATGATTGACAATCTTGAAACATGCAAAGCCTTTACACTGCGACTGTGAATTAAAGTCACGTCGAAATTCAATGGTGTTTACTTGTATCTGATAATTAAATAAATCAAATATTATGAGTCGTACAGCAATCATTTTTTTTCTTTTTATTTTGAATTTTTTTTTTTTTTTTTTTTTATAAAAGTCTTAAACTTTGTAGGACATTGCATTAGTTTCACATTAAGTTTAGCTGAATTAAGTTGAAAACTTTTTTCTATAAAACTATAAAGCCTGAGAGCTTCTCCGCTTTCCGTCCTGGTCTCCAGCCATATACCGCCCCCTTCCTTGTTCAAGATTCCCATATCTGCCACTGATATGTGCCCATGCATGCTTACTAAGGCATATTCAATTATTCAATTGATTTAGATGAGCGACTGGTAGATTTTTGTAATAGAATTCTGGCCCTGGAATGATAAAAAAAAAATTACTAATCCAGTGACGTAGCATCTTTTTTTTGAAAGAGGAGGTTCGCCAGAAAAAAAAAATCATTTACCCGAAAAAAATTGACAAGCCAAGAAAAAAAAGTCCAAGCCCGAAAATCCTATTTCGGGGAGAGGGGTCCAACTTCAATCAGTCCCATTTTTTCCCAGATATATTACATTACCCTTAGTGGACTATACTTCAACAAGAAGTGGGGGTGGGGGGGGGGGGCTGTACAGTTTCAATGAACATTACATTTTCTATAGTAAAGTTATGTCTAGGAAAAGAGGGGGGGGGTGATATTATGTGCCTGTAATTTATCCTAATCAATCAGGAACCCCCCCCCCCCCTTCTTACCAGTCATTAACACACGGTCGTCAACATTCATTATATACTAGATATACAGCTTTGAGATAATGTAAATGTATTTTAACATCAGGTAATGAACTTTTGGAATCAACATGATAAAGAGTTAGCACAATATAAAGATATTTTTAAATCACATAAGAAAGAGTTGACATAACGTAATTATATATCCACATCACGGAATGGAGTTTTGACATAATGTAATAAAGCATTGATATAATATAAAGATATGTTCACATAATGTCATACACTTTTTACACCACGTAATAAAGCACTGACATAAAGGTAAGATGTGTTCACCTCACATCATGATGCCCTCGCCGTAAAATAAAGATAAATCCATATCACCTAATAATGCTTTGATATAATAGAAATATACACTCTCAAAAAGGAATGCGCTTTTGACTTCATGTAATGATAAGTTCACATCACGTAATTATAAACTGACATAATAAATGCATAGTTGTATGCTATAAGGCAGTGATGGCGTTCCATAAACTAGTACTATTCCTTTAGCTGTCACTATCAAGTTTTGTATATGTAGATGTGTAGAATGTGATAGCATCTTTGATGTAGAAATATGGATTATTGATAAAATGAAATGCTTAAAAGCGATAATGATGCTAATCTGATGCAAGCCTTTTTCTATAATACCTAAAGAGTGTCTGAACTTTAGTAGACTAAGCCATGCAACTGAAATTTGTACCAAAGGATAAAGATGTCTATACTTAATTGCGACTAAAAAGAAATTACACAAAGGTTCCTTCGGTCTCGCTCTTATGCGTAGATTTCTTTTAAAGAGGAAGTTGCCTTTTATTCATATTCCCTTGCAATTCACACCTTTATTTAGTTTGAGACGTAATGTTTAACAAAATATTGAAGGAAAACTGAACAGGAAATGAATTATCAAAGAGCAATAACGGACTAACATTTCTTTTTTCCGCTGACTTGCTTCGTCATTAAATCAAATAAAAGGTAATGACGAGTTTGAATAAATCAATATATTTGTGGAAAGAAAAAAAGATGATATCGCTCGATAATTCATAAACAAACCGGTTCTCTGATGGGAAAATCTGATTATATTGACAATATACAACTCGTTAAGATTTCACCGATTTGGATTGACTTAGTGTTTCAGATGGAAAAGATGAACTGCACGGCAGGTTTTGCTATTTGAATCAAAATCAGGCTTAGCCAGAAAAAGACTTAAAAGATAGCAATGTTTAAAAATCTCTTCTTATTATACTTTGTTTTAAATAATGTAAAAGTAAAGGAAAATAACCCATGCCGCAGTTGTTAACGTTAATCTTTGAAAAGTGAAAAATGTATTACGACCGAAAACAATTTAATTTTTTTTATTTTTAATGAATCTGGACCATATACGTATATCGTAATTTTCATTTTTATTTGTATCAGGTATAGATAGCATGATTATTGTCTACAACTCATAATCTGAGTTTCTTCTAACTTTATCTAATAATAAAAGTTTCATTGTTCCTATGTAATTATGTTATTCATCATGGGTAAAATTGACAGCTTGAAAATTTCTCCAGTCGAAATGCCTGGCAAATCAATTCAGTGTATTCTCTCAAAACCATGTAAATGGTACATAAGGTATATAAAAACGCATATAATTATAATACAGTTGGCCAACTGAGATCAATTAAGATAGCTATGGAGAACAGACCAAACGATTAATTTCTGTGATAAATGTACATATTTTTTTTTTCAAAGAATCAACATCATTTTGGCACATACATGTAACTTAACAAAACTTCATAGGTTATGGGAAAGAAACCCCCTCCTGCATTACATTATGAAATAAAGTGATATTTACCAACAACTATCACATAAGCTACAAAATCTGTCATTTCTTTGAGTACCTGTACCTGTTTCAATTCGAAAGTGTTGCTTTGTGGTTCTAAATCTAACAAAAAGTTTTTAAAAATTTGACTCTAGCATTTATCCATTTTACATTATAAAAATAAATATTGCTCATACAATATATTTGATAAATTTAACCACATCTGTCAAAAATATTTCGTAAAAATGAAATCCAGGAATTTATCATTTCTCCTTTTTCATATTGTTTAAGTTAATACACAATTATACACAATTCTACACATTTTTTATACACAAGTTTTACATACTAAACTCCTAAGTTTCTTTTATATGTCTTTTCTATACTATTTTATTGATTTATACACTACTTTTTTGTCATTTTTACTCGCTTTTTTAATACTTTCTTCATTTTTACTCTTGATTTTCATCATTTGAGCACTTCCTTTCACCTTGTGGTTTTACATTCATTGTTAAGTCATGGTTTATCCTTCTTCTTCACTTCATAGGTTCGGAGTTGAAAATTATCACACATTCTTGATATTATAATTTTGGTACTTTTTATTAATATTATTTGAGGTTCTATTAAGAGTACGTGTACTTTACGTTTTAAAGTAAAACTTGTCAATTTTCTCATACGCGCTTGGTTTCAGGATGGTGTATTTTGTGAATTATGTATTTTTCTAGGTGTGTCTGTGTACCCTCATTAAAATAAAAATAAAAATTCGCTGAAATAATTCACAAAATACACCATCTTGAAACCAAGCGCCGATGAATTTTCTCACGAAAATTGCCCGGTTCGACCAAAGCTTCACATTTATGAACATGTAGATATAATCTGCTCAGTAGCAGTGCTGAATGATACAGAGCTGTGTACATCTAGAGAACATTTCACAAAAATCGCTGTCAAAATGTCTTTACAATTTGAATATTTCTATTCTACTTATACAATCGTCTGTATAAGTATTTTTACAAGAGAGTGACCCTACATGTCTGTATAGCTACCTACACGACTATTGACAAAAAGCACATTATTATTTAACCCAAAAAAATTTCATCTTATAACCACAGTTATTATTTGAAAACAAAATTGAACAATCCTGTGAAGGATCGTGTTAACATTCTCATAAAAAAGTTTTTATATCCTTATCTTCACATTCAGCAGCACGCCTGGCATAAGAGGAACCAGCTGGGATTTTACATTATGCCAATAAAATGGAGGCGTGTACCTATTTCATATTATAACTATATATATCACAACACAGTGGTGCATCAGTGTTGTCTGGGAAAGCAAGGAACGCAAACGATTTCATTAACAGGTAGGACATGACATTATCTTTAGCTTAATACTGTAATTACCGATTCAAGAGAGTAATCAACACTTTGAAATCTTATTTCGATGAATACTCTACCATTAAAAAAGGAGCGCAAACGATTTCATAACCAGGTAGGACATGGCAATTTTTATGCTGCTAATCTTATTCTCATGATGATTTTTAGCCGAATACTGTTATAACTAATTATTAAAATTGAATAATACTATTGAATTGGATAAAAATGTATTATTATTTAAAACTTGTTGCGGTTGATTGTGCGGATTTGATGTAAGCTCTAGTTGCTCCCAGTACATGAGTACTTGGTATTCTGCTTTCGGTTAGAATTTTTTAAAAGGGGGAAGGGGGGCTTCAAAACTTACAAACACTTAAATGAATTTATATAAAAAAAAATTATATTGTAACGCTAAATAGTTCTTACATTATCTACGTTGATAAATATATATTACCTGCAGACATAATATCAGAAATGTGTTCTTTCTATAGGCACTGCATTACACTTAGTAGTAGGTAACTGATTATTTTAGTGCGTTTTATGCGCATAGAGTATCAAGACTGATTTTTTTTTTCATTTTGTTATTCTAGTTGAATAAATGTTGTACTCTGCGATAAAGCAGATAGGGCAAGTGTTTAATATATTGTTTACAAATATTAGCAAACCTTTCCCCATAAAAATTAGAATGATTATGCATGCCACAATATCTTGTCAATGTTATCATTCTTCAAATCTGACAGCCAAAAACCTCATTATATATATATGTCTCATTATTTTTACCAGAATAAAGATGAAAGAAAAGATAAGGCATGTTCGATAATAGAATTCATCACTAAATGAATTGATAAACGAATTATAAATCTAAAAAAACACAATTACAGCATGATATTACTCTTTGTAACTCGGATTATGCAGCACTTTTGACACTGAACTGAAGAACTACGTATTTTTGATCTCATGGATTCGGGTGTCTAGGGAAGACTTAAAGACGATTTTCTTTCCGCACTCAAGCATCTATAAGCCGTATTGCAGCTAACTTTGAGCAAGCGTTTCATATTGAGATCATTTTTGTACGTCAATACATACTTCTATACTTATAAATTGATAATATGTGCAAATGATCCCCGAACGCTTGCACTAGAGTTAATACTTTCTTTCTTTAGGATAACACTAGGTATAAGGTGATGTCCGTAAACTATAATAAGATTTCACTCGCATAGTAATAATTGTAAATTTAAATAAAAAGTCTATTTTCATTTTCGTTTAAGAGAATAGCAAAAAGGAGAGTACGGTGGTGTTTCCGCTTTGCGGATCTAAGTTACAACCATTTTCAAATAAAACTGACAACAATCAAGCGTTCAATAATTTCATAAAACGTCAGTAATGAATTATTCGTCCAAATCTTGATTTAAGTAAAATAAAAGAAATAAGTTGTGATTACTGATTAAACAAGATGTGTTTGTAAAACACCGGTGCCCCCGTATGGCAACTTAAAGTGAAGTTTAAACTCTCTGAAATGCAAATAAATACGTTGGTATCCAAAGTAAGGTCTTCTCATAAGAAATACACTGTCTTGTGAAATATGAAAACCCTAGCAGCACTTGTTCAAAAGTTATGGCCAAGGTTAAAGTTTTTAGAAATAGGTCAAAAAGTCAGGTAAGTTGTTGATTTCTAAAGAAAGGTCTTGTCACAAAGATTTGAAATATGAAAATACGAAAGCCATAGCCCTAACAGTTCAAAAATTAAAGCCAAGATTAAAGTTTTTTTAAAATGTAGGTCAAAGGGTCAAAGTTGTTGGTATCTTAAGAATGTTTTGCCACCAGGATAACGTTATTATGTGAAGTATAAAATCCCCACTTGTTCAAAAGTTATGGGCAAGGTTAAAGTTGGTTTAGATTTTGCAAAACTGGACTCCAAGTTCAAGGTCAAAAGGTTAAATTTTATGATATTCAAAAAAAGGTCTTGTCACAAGAAATACATGTGTGAAATATGATAGCCATAGTCTCAGCCAACAAACGTTATGGGCAAGGTTAAAGTTTTTGCGGACAATCAGACAAACAGACAGGGCAAAAACTATAAAAACAAAATGTACAAGACCTTTCCGATCTCTCTCTTGATTGAAAGTTCTAGAACGTAAGATGGCATCAAACCCAATGTTGAAAGAAAAACGAGCCGGGGGCATGAAAAAGTTGTGAAATAATTTATAAAAGCATGAGATACGAATAATAAAAATGCATGTTTACAACTGTAAATCATCATGGCAACGAACTCAAAGTACAATTTTTACAATATGTATTTTATGAAACACCGATGCCCCCGTATGGCAGCTTATGGTGAGAGTTGAAGTTTCTCAAATGCAAGTCAAACGTCAAGGTCAAAAAGTCAAAATTGTTGGTATCTAAAGTAAGGTCTTGTCATAAGAAATAAACCTGTGATAATGAAAGTCCTAGTACTAACTGTTCGAAAGTTATGGCCAAGGATAAAGTTTTTTTTAAAAAAGGGTCAAAATATAAAGGTCAAAATATTTATACATATTGAAAGGTCACAATAAATACATATATGAAGTATGAAAGCCCTAGCACTAACTGTTCAAAAGTTATGGCCTAAGTTATAGTTTGGTATTTTTCTTGTAAAATTAGGTCAAACTCCAAGGTCAAGAGGTCATATTTAGTGATACCAAAAGAAAGGTCTTGTCACAAGGAATACACATGTGAAATAGGAAAGCCATATCCCTACCTACTCTAGAGTTATGGGCTAGGTTAAAGTTGACAAAGGACAGACAGAAAAACAGACAGACAGAACAAAAACAATATATCCCAGGGATCTTCGATCCGGGGGCATAATAAAGTAGTAGAGTAAAAAACTTGCTGAAAGAAAATAGAAATTGACTATGGTAATTTGTTTAAATTTAGTAAGTCAAAGTAGTGTCTTATATTTGTATCAAAAAGCTTTTAAAGTGTGTGCTTTAATATATACGTCTAACGTTTTTTTTAAAACGTAGTCTTTTCTATTTAAAAAGCCCATAATCCTTTAAGGCCTGTAGACACATGAGGTGAAAAACTAGTCTTTACTTTTTAAAAATGCTGACAAATACAAAATATGTACACATTTATTTCGAATCCGTTTATCTTTAATGTAAACGGAAACAGAACACCCATAGTATGAAATGTAATAATATAGTACAGCAGATATCAAAAAAATAAATTTTATATTACAAGTAAAGATAAAATGTCAGTTAATGAGTACCCATAGTAAAATATGTATGACATAGTACAACAGATATCAAAATAAAGTTGCCTTTTAACACGTAAGACGGAAACGCTAATTAAATTGATACTTTTCAAAGTAAACGAATAAGGATGTGTATATATACTTCATTTTTCTAAACTCATTGCGGAAGTTCGAAGTGTTTCTTCATGCCATAAGATTCGGGGGTATATAGTTTTTGTCGTGTCCTTCCGTCTGTCTGTCTGTCTGTCTGTTTGTCGGCAAGAACTTTAACGTTCCCCACAACTTTTGATTAAATGGAGCTATGACTTTCTTATTTCACATGTGTATTCCTTGTGACAAGACCTTTCTTTGGGTACCACCAAATTTGACCTATTGACATTGACCTTTGAGTTTGACTCACTTTTAAACAAAATTTTTAAAGTAATACACGCTATATGAACGCAAAATGTTGTGTGAAACAAAATGATTAAATGATTTGAAACAATGATGAAGTGTAATGAAAAAATAATACTTTTTATAAAAATTTACTATAGAAATTGTTGTAATAACAAAACAATTAAGCAATATCTGGCAATTAAGAATTTAGTCTTTTAATGAATATTGATGAAGGAAGTGCGTAAACAGTAGGCCTATATATAGACACACATGTCCACGGGAAATCATAGACAACATTCAAACTATAATTTCAATCCAATGTTTTCTCGGCCGTCCGCGTCAAATTGTACCAGCCCATTTCATTGTCTATCATTAAATGTTTTGATTGTAACAGATAGAAACTAGAGGTACTGTGAGCGATGAGCTCACTAAATGATACCCCCCGCCTCCCATATGGTTATAACTGGTGAAAAAGTCCATGTTTTCCTGTGGCCGGGAAACCCAAAATATGTGTCGGATCAAAAAGTAAAATAGGAGGTGCACAATGGCAATATGTAATAAAGATTCTGTGAAAGTTTCATCAATTTTCATTCAGTGGTATGAGAGGAGTTGCGGATAAGAGATGGGTACCCCAAAGCGTAACAGACGGACGGACGGACGGACGGACGGACAGACAGACGGACGGACGGACGTACAGACGGACGGACGGAATTAACGATTACTATATACCCTCCCGCTTTTCAAGCGGGGGGTATAATGACGTAAGCTGCATATTTCCAATGTTGCCAGTTAATTTTCCGCGGTCTTAACAATTGAACGGTAGATACTAGGACTTTTATACTTCACATTCGTATTCTTTATGGCAAAACCTTTATTGAATACCAACAACTTTAACACTTTGACCTTGACCTTGGAGACTTCCGTACTTATGAAAAAACTTTAACCTTGATCATAACCTTTGAACGGTAAGGGCGAGGGCTTTAATACTTCACATATGTAATTCTTTTGAGAAGACCTTTCATTGGATATCAAGAACTTTGACCCATTGACATTGACCATGGAGTTTCACCTACTTTTAAAAAAACAAACCGTGATTATAACTTTTGAAGGGATAGGGCTAGGGCTTTTAACTTCACATTTTTAATCCTTGTGACAAGACTTTTCAGTTGATATCAAGAACTTTGACCTTTTCACCTTGACCTTGGAGTTTAACCTACTTTTTTAAAAACTTTAATGACCTTGGCCATAACTTTCGAACGGTTAGGACTAGGGCTTTCATACTTTATATCTATAATCCTTGTGACAAGAGCTTTCTTAAGAAACCAACAACTTTGACCCTTTGACCTTGGAGTTTGACCAACTTTTCAAATAAAACTTTTGAACA